AAAAGAGGAAGAAGAAGAAGAAGAAGAAGAAGAAGAAGAAGAAGAAGAAGAAGAAGAAGAAGAAGAAGAAGAAGAAGAAGAAGAAGAGACCCAGGAGGTTTCTGTTAGGAAAGACACATTGCCTGATTCCAGACAGTGTGTGTCATGGCCTAGCAGAAAGTTTGTCTGCATTTTGTCTGTGTCCAGAGACTTTGCCTGGTACTGAGATTAAGGATTACAGACTAATTAATCTGGAAGAAGTCATCTCAAAGCACTTTAATGTTAAAAGCAGTGGCATAGCTACTGTTGGGAACTTTTAGCCAGATTTATGTAGAGAATGAAAAGCAAAGAACCCAGCAGGATGATTTAAAATATGAGTTTTGTCAGAAAGGAAGCTCCAGTAAAGCTGTAGACCACAAAGATACAGCTCAGGAGATCTCGACCATTGAGAAGGAACAGGAGAATATACAATATGGCCTGAGGGCATCACAAGAAGCAGCAGGTATCCATCCTTTGTAGCCTCAAAACTGCAAAAGTGAAAGACTGTGCTTTGAGGAGAAAGCTGCAGGGCACCATGTTCCAGAATGACAGCAGCAAAGAAAACTTGTTCCTCAGAATTGAATTCCAAATGCCCAGTAATCCAGGCACTTGGCTCGTACAGTGAAGAGGAAAAGAAGCCTGACTATTGCTCCTGCTGGCAGCAGACCATGTGGCATTAGTTTTAGGTGCATGCAAAATGCAAGAACTGTGTGGTTAAGAAGGCTTCCCTTCTACTTTCAGAAGGCCTGGGAAACCAGTGTCCCTCTGAGAGGGCAGTGTGTGAAGCTGTGCATGTGAGGCCAGAGGTGCAGTGGACACCCTGGGAGTTTGGAGAAGCCAGGAACATGGATTGTCTGAGACAAGCTACAAGGAAGGAGAAGAGTGGGCCTAAGAGAAAAATTGTAGGGTCTGTTACCACCAGAAGTGTCTCAGGGGTGGAGTCACACAAGCCCTTTGGAGCTCACAATTTGCCATGTGTTGCTTCAGATACTGCACATGGAACTACAGAACTTAATGTCTGCCCTCCTAGATTTTGGACTTGCTTTGTTCATAATCCTTTTTTTTTCCTTTTTTTTTTGTATTTAATACAGGGTCTACAGGATCTCACTACACAGATCAGACTCATAGTGATTATTCTTCTGTTTTCAGTCTCCCAAGAGCTGGGATTATAGGTGTGAGCCACCACGTCCAGTCTCCATTGCCATCTCAGTGTGCCCCAGGGACAAGGCTGGCATGGCACACTGGGGATCAAACCATGGTCCCTGTGTGTCCATAATTCTTTGAATCTCCCTGTTTGTAACTTTTGAAATGAAAATTGTTTATCTTGTGCCATTGAGTGTTGGAAGTGTTTCACTTGTACAGGGGCTTGCAGCTAAGAGTTTGCCTTAAATATCAGAGGAGATGTGGTATTTGGACTTTACCGCATTGCTGAAACTGTTAGGACATTGGCAACTCTTAGATATATACTAAAGGCTTTTTGCATAAAGGGGTATGTGTGAGTACTTGAGGGGCCAGGGGTGGAATGTTATGGTTCTAATGTAATATAATGTTGAAATACTTAACACTGCTTCTTAAGGATTGTTAAACCTGTGTTATAATGTTCAAGTTGTTAAATGATAAAAATAAGCATATCTTTGTATCTGTAGACTGGTTTAAAGAAATGTGTCTGACTGCCAAGTTGACGAGGGGTGGATTGTAATGATTGATGCATCAATGAATGATATTATGCCAATTTGAGAAGTTTAAATATGTCACTCAGCAGGGGCTCAGTATGCTCACTTTGTAAATATCTTCATCCTGTGCAAGAGGGAGGCATAGAGATGACATGAGTTCTACACTCACCTGGGGGGAGAAGAGGAGATGAGGCTGGTTCTCCTGCCTCTCTTCTGCTCTTGATGCTTTTGCTGTCTTCTTCTGCCCTGAACTGTTGCCCCTGTGTCATGCCACCTGCCTTGGAGCCAGCTGATATGGATTGCATCCTCTCAAACTGTGAGCTAAAGAAACCTTTCCTTCCTTCATTTAGGGGATCAGGTATTTTGTCTCAGCAACAAGAGAAAATGAACCAAGACACCAGATTTCTTTCCAGCCAGTTGATAATAGAAAGAATTCTTACAACGTGTACATCCAACTTGCTTCCAAGCCCAGGAATCAAGAAAAAATTAAACCCAAGCATCAGTGCCCAAGGAGTCCACTTGTGTCGCAGTAACTGTGATTATCCCTGGCTGTTCTGAGTGGTCCAAGACCTCCATTAATGCCATGATCAGTAGGTGCTGAAGTCCTTTGAATAAAATGGCATATTGTTCACATATGACCTGTTTTAGATCATGTCCAGGCTGCCTATAATACCTACAATAGTATACATGTTGTGTAAATCCTAGTCACACTGTTGTCTAGGGAGCAGTAGTGAGGGAATCGAGTGCACATGTCCAGGGCTAACATCCACAGTTGGTTGGGTCTGTAGTTATGGAGCCCATGGACGTGGAACCCCACGGTCCTGGCCATTGAGACCCCACCCAGACCCACACCCCAGTTCCCACACAAGGGAAGAAGCAAAGCAGAGATTCCTGCTGGGAAGCATCTGTGTTCACTGTGGCCTTGTCAAACTTGAGCTAAAATGGAGCTTCTATATTAATGTCCCCTAAGCTGTTAAGTGTCACATGTCACCTGAGATCTTTGCAAAACATGGATCTTGCTTCAGGAGGTCTCAAGTGGGACTTGAGTTTCTGAGTTTCTAATAATCTCCCAGGAAATCTCCATGCTTCTAACCAAACTTTGAGCAGCAACAATATAAACAAACAGTAGGAGGCATATGGAAGTCCCCATGAGGGCAGCATGTCCTCAGATATGGGCTGAAGCTGGAGGCTTGAGAGTGGGCAAATCCCTGAGACAGCGATCCCAGCAAAGACAAAAGGAGCATGATGGGGACTGCACAAGGCCCTTGCTGGAGGTGCAGGGTGGGCATGGGGCTGACTACAGGGGTGTTCTGCTCTCTCTGTTGTCATTGGTAGAAGATGGCCAGATACCTGCTTCCTCAGAAGCACAGCTCCACGAACTCCACGCCAACTGAGCGTCTGACTGTTGCACGTTAATACGATGTACCCTGTAGTTTTAAATAGAATTAGCCATGTTTACAGCTCTGATTAAGCACACCTTGTTCTTCCACATTAAACTTTATTAGCAGTGTCGTCCATCAGCACACAGACGTGGAACTCATTAGCAGCTGGCACGGAGACACCAGTGCTGTGGAGGGAACTGGGTTCTGTCCTCCTGTGTGGAGGCTTCCTGGGCCTGGGGAGCTTGGGCTGACTTCCTGCCGTTCCTGTGCTCACAGAACCTTGGACTTCTTTGTCCCCAGAAAACTGCCAAGACCCAGGTATCTTTATGCAGAAGTCTGTGTTCTGTGAGTGTAGGTTGGACATCCTCTTGTTTTCTAAAGGGGTCCGTGATCTACATGGTAGGGGTCATTAGAGACAGTGTACTGTGACCTGATTCTAGTCATCATGATCTCCAGGCTAATAAAGAAATTAAAAATTAAAAAGAATGTATAAAAGTTAAAAAATAGTCTCCCGGAATTCTAGAAAATATTTGTATTTTCACCTCCAGGAACTGATTGGGTGGGCTCTCCTAATTTTTACTTGTTTTATTTTGGAGGACTTGGCATTCATGCAATTTATCACAGTCTATGCAGCTTGCTGCAGGTACCGAGCGTATGTCCTGCTGTCCTTTGCCAGCCTGGCATTTGCCAGTGTGTGACTAAGTGAGAGAGTGGCAGGAGTTCATTCTCCAGGGGTTAGGACCTCATAAGTTACAGACCCCAGTATGCACGGACAAACACGGCCCTTCTCTTCCTTCCCTGTCCCTTGGGCCCACTCCCGGGAACTACTTGCTGTTCATGAACAAAGCATCCAAGCTACTTGTGGTCGACAGCACCTCCTAGTGGCCATAAGTGAGAATGTGCAGTTCTCCCTGGGTTCCCCCCCCCCTTTTCCTCCCTTTCTCCACAGCAAGCACCTCTGCCTGTCCCAGATGCATAGTCACACATATCTTTCCAAATCCAAACTCAGTCCAAATCTCTTTAGTTTCTTATTCTGTTATATTCCTGTCATTTATCCCCTTCTCAAGCAAACCTATAATCTATGTCATGTGCTATAAACTACCCAGCTATAGCCAAATGATTCTCTGGCTTGGGTAATGGGCTTATTATTAGATTCCCCAGATGGGCTTCAGCATCCGGAGTTCTTTCTCCTCCTGTGTAGTCTGTTTGCTTTAGCTTAATTCTTGGCTCTTCTCACTTAGTGGTATGAGCACTGGCTTTGTGGCCCAGACCTAGACCTTTCTTTCCAGTGCTGTGTTCTGGGGAAGCCA